TATCAGACTTCCTCACTGACAGTGCATATGGGAGTTGTTTTAAAGTTTCCAGAGGGAGACAGAGGAAGGTTTCAGATGGTGGAGAAGGGGGTCCAGAGGCTTTAGCAACTAGGTCACCAGCTTCAACCTCTCCTGGGTTGGTGATAACCTGTCATTACCAGTCCCTAATAGCTGTGTGCACTTATCTAAAAAATCACTGTTCTTTCATAGATAGGGACAGATTTCATGGAAATCTCAAAATTGGTCATTTCTTGCAAAAGCAGGCAATGTACATGAAATCCACCAAACAAAAAAGAAGAAAACTTACTGAAAATAAAATGCTGGCTCCCCACCAGGAGCCAGCAGTCCTCATGGCTCTGTGGCCTGGCTGTGCAGCCCACTGGGGGCAAGGAGAGAAAGGGGGCCTGCCCACATGCAGGGCAGCCCATGATGGCTGCCACCCCCACCCCCACTCCTCACCGCTGATCGGCTGAGAGGGATGCCTGGCACATGGCCCTACCTCTTGCCACCAATCAGCAGTGAGGGACAGGGCCACATGATGGAGAGCTCTCACAGCCACTGAGGCCCCTCAGCTAATCAGAGTTGTTGGGAGGCAATCAATCAGCCTATGAATATGGCGGCTGGTCCAGGGATCTCCCTGCAAAATTGGCCAGCTGCCTTTTTGAGTTAGGTAGACCCCTAGTCATAGAGTGCAAGGGCCACCAGGTGATTTGAGCTGACCTCTACGTACCCGAAACCATTCAGTTTCTACCCTATGTTGAATCCAAGGAGTTCAGATGGGCTAAGGCATTTCAGCTCTCAGGCAACCAAACTAGGTGGCACAGACAAAACACAAGAGACTGGGAAGCTATTGGTGCCTAGGGCCCCTGCAATGGCAGGGAACTAATGGGGAGAGCTTAAATGATTGCTGCAGTTAAAGGCAGAAAACAAACAAACAAAAAACAACCACCCAGGCTTCCCGGAGAGAAGATTCTCCGTTCTGCTTCAGAGCACTGAATCTACCTTCTCATTGTCCAGTCTCCAAGTGTGGCAAGTCCCCGAGGCTTCAAAAGAAGAGGCAGATATGGGGATGAGAAAAGAAAACAGCTTGCCAATTATGCGTTTCAGAAAATTACATTCCTGAGCCTGACAGGCAACAGGCTGAATCTTTGGAGTATGAAAATTGATTATAATTATTGCCTTAATGCAGAGTTATAAGTGTTATGGGACATATTGAGGGACCTGTAAGCAATTCAAGTTGCCTCAAGAAGAGGAGATCCGACAGACCTTCCTTCCTTCCATGAAGGAAGAGGAGATCCGACAGACCATACAGTTAGAAAGTACTACCATGGACACACACAGTCTCAGCCCATCTTGCTCATCCCAAAGGGTGAAGAATCTCTCCCTACTTTGCAGACACCCCTGGGCTTGAAGGGTCATGGAGACTGAACCATCCCCTCACCTCACATGGAAATCCCACCAGGTCACAGCGTTGAGGCATATCAGCAGGGAACTCAAACTGTCACAGCTTGAGTGATTACATGCTATAGATAAACTGTGGATTTAATCTCCTGGTGGTAAATTTTAGTATCTTTCAGCAGCTCTTAAAAGGCAGAATAGGGAAGGCATGTTTTCAACATTATGAGTTTCAGAAAGCTTCCATCAAACTTAATTCATGATAAATGGCATGCAGAGCAGACTGCGTAAAGTAGTCTTCATTGGGAATAATTTCCCCCACCTAGCAATTAGGAGGTTTTAAGAAATGTATATTTAAATTTTGCAGGTGTGTGTTACCTGCTGAAGTCATTGCAGGTTCTTTCTATTGCAGTGAATGCAGGATGTCATTAAATAAAAGAATAACAGAGATGGAGGCAGTGTTGCTGATTGGATAAAGCACAGGTCTGGGAGTCAGAGACTTGTGTTTTGCCTTTGCCAGCAGCCTGCTGCTAGATGATTTTGGACAAATCATATCCCCTCTTTCTGCCTCAGTTGCCCCAAGTGTAAAAGGCAAGTAGTGAGAGATGATCTCCTTTGCAAACTCCTTTGAGATTCCTGGATTCAGAAACGTTGTGGGAACAAGGTGCCCTCTCTCCTTTTACAAACATTATTGTTGATTTTAAAAAAATCTGTGGGTGATCATTCTCCCTGAGTTGCTGTAGTGTAGAATCTGAGCCAATCCCTGAAGCCTTCATTTACATTGTACTGAAGCAAACTATAATGTATTATGGATTTTCTGGCAAACAGCATAAAAATATTAGTAGGCAAACACGCTTAGAAGTATAATGCAAACAAAATACAATTGAAGCATTCTCACTCAAACTCCTTGTACAGAGGCTGTGTGTTGAAGCCTACACCATTTCTTACAAAATCCAACAGGCCCAGGCTTTAAATAGTGTTAATGTCAAGGTCAGAATAGTCTTAATGACCAGATGACCTGTTTTAATTGGGAAACAAAATGATTATACAGCAGGCTGTGAGGCCTGCAGCTTTGTGTATCTTTTTTCCCCCAATTTTCCATCAGACAAATGCAGAGAAGCTTTGTCGCACATACGAAGACCACTTGAATGAGACAAAGGCTAAGCTGGATGAAATGACCCGTCTTGTGAATGACCTCACCACCCAAAAAGCAAAGCTGCAGACTGAGAATGGTAGGTCAATGTTCAGCATTAAATCTTAGAGAGAGTAGAAAACAAACACCCAATGATATGCTCCTGCACAGATAAAAGTGCTGGCTGACTGCAAAGTCCTGACATAGATAAATACTACAGAGTTCAGCTCTCTTCAGAAACTTAAGATGCAGCAATCCACACAAATGTACCATTGTGAATGGGAAGAAGTTCATGTGAAACGTAACTCAGCTCTCTTAGTTCAGGAAAGCATTCCCTATTATGATGTATAGGGAAATGGTGTAAGGATTACATCTGCAGGAAGATGGGTTGGGTTGTGCATGCTGTAGACCTGCAACTTTCTGTTGTCTGATGCTTTCTCATCTTAAATTCTCTGTTGTAACTCCTCTTTTAAAATAAAGCAGTCAATTACCATGCTATTCACATGCTGCACTATCATCAAGTCTCATGAACTAAACAGGGTCAGGCTGTGGCTGGGCAAGTATTTGTACTGAGAACACTGACAAGCAATACACTAACTTCAGATGTTACTAGTAGGAGGTGGTGGCTGAGTCTGTAGGTGCCGCTGTTACCGGTATGAAATGCTATAATCTGGCATATTGTTTAGGCATCACTGCTTCAGGAAGAAATAAAAATGTAGGGCACCTGTACATGTGATGGGTTTTTGTCCTTAGGGTTGCATTCCATGACCCCTAAACTGAAACTGTGAGTATTGTCCTGGTGGCTGCAGGCTCCTTCTAAAGGCAGAAGTGGCAAAGGGCGCAATCCTTTTCATTTATTTAATTGTTTATTTATTTCCAGTGGAGCCTGCCCACCTCTCCTGTGGCCAGAGGCCATTAATCTGTGCCATTAAACTTACAGCTGTCCTCCAGCCATGGGAGAGGTGGACAGGCTCTGGGTGGAAAATGGATCAGGCCCCTTGCTGCTTCTGCCTTCAGCAGGCTCCTGCAGCCAGCAGGATGCCTGAGGCTGCCTGGGAATGGTCTGGTTTGCCCCTGGGACAGCATGGGGAGGTGGCAGGAGGGCAGCTGGGTGTGCTGGCAGACAGCGAAGGTGGTGGAGACAGTGCACAAGGTGCTGGAAGCCTGGATGGGCTCAGGGAACTAGCAGCCTGCTCAGGCAGTCCCACGCCCCATGCAGCATCCCTGCTGCCTCCCTGCACTACCTGGGGGGGAAACCAGCCCATTCTTGGGTGGCTCCAGGCATTCTGCTGGCTGCAGGAGCCTGCTGAAGGCAGAAGCAGCGAGGGCCCAATCCTTTGTTTCTGCTGAGGCTGCCTGCCTCTCCCGCAGCTGGGGAGTGAGCTGACTAATGGCTGCAATGTTCTAAGTTTGCAACATCGCAAACTAAACTACATCAAGATGTAGTTTTGTTTGCAATGATACAAACTCATTTAAAAACCCCAAAACTCGTGTATGTGTAATTTATGCGAGTACATTAAGCCACACAAAGAGAAATTTTTGTCACGTGTACATCATGACATCACCACGTGTAGATGTGCCTTTATTTATGATGACTGGCATTTTTTGTAAGAGTGGAACTTTTCATTCCAATGAATTTCCAGCTATGTTGTTTATTCAGCTGCCCTGAAATCCTCTGAGTGTTCACTTACACAGCGTTTTTCTTTTCCTGTTGTTTCATTGGCTATAAATAGTTACTGTTTTTCATCCCAGAAGAAGCTATATTCACTTTCATGTGGTTGCTAAAGCATCCACCATGTATTTTCCTGACCCTACCTCAGGCGAATTGTAAAGCTGGTGCTCTTAAGTGCTTTGGAATAGTGTTAAGAAAGGTCTAGAGAAGTGCAATGTAAAACATTAAAAAGTGTGAAGAACAAACCATTAGCCACACACAGAAGCTAGTATGAGAGGGGCTAGTTTAGTTTGATTTTTGCATCATTCATTAAAATTACAGCACTTATATTTGTCTTCATCAAATGAAAGAGAATCTAGGGGAAAATGGTTCTGTGGTGTTTTATTCTAATATAGATCTGAGAAGGCTTCCTCAGATGCTTCCTTTAAAAAAAGATCATCCATGTTCACTGTCAGTTGTTTTGCTTGTGTTGGTTTGAGCAGATGTAACTGAAATATGACCATGGGAATGGGATGATGAATGGGAAACAGGACATATTTCAATCTTACCTGATTAAAAACCCTTGGCAGGTGAATTTGCAAGACAGCTAGAAGAGAGAGAGTCATTGATAAGTCAACTTTCCAGAGGGAAAACGTCCTTCACTCAACAGACTGAAGAACTGAGAAGACAGCTAGAAGAAGAGACCAAGGTAATACTCATTTGCTTATCTGTCAGCCTTGAATATTTTACAGGTTATAGCAAACAAATCTGAGACAGCTGGAACACCCATTCATTGAGCTGAATGGAAGAACACTATTGATTTTTAACTTAGAGGAAAACTGAAATCAGGTGTTTGAGCCAAAATATTTTGATACTTGTACAAATAGAAATTTCTGCATTTGAACAGTACAAGTCATGGAGAGAGAAAGCATTTTGAGAATAGACCTTCTCATTGCATTTGTGGTGTCTGGACTAGAAATGCCATGGCAATAGTTGTTCTGATATTGTGCCTTTCTCCTTAGCTGAGGCCAGATATGGAAAGGCAAAAAAGGAACTGAACTATCTGGGATCTTGAAAGCTTAGCTTGAATTCCTAGAGACTGTTTATTTGGCTCTCATGGGGCCCAGGGTGGAATTTTGGTTCCTTAATATACTGACATAACCTTTTAATCCTGCAGTCTAAGAATGCCCTGGCTCATGCGGTGCAAGCTGCCAGACATGATTGCGAACTCCTGCGGGAGCAGTTTGAGGAGGAACAAGAAGCCAAGGCAGAGCTTCAGCGAGCTCTGTCCAAGGGAAATGCAGAAGTAGCGCAATGGAGGACAAAATATGAAACTGATGCCATTCAAAGAACAGAGGAACTGGAAGATGCCAAGTAAGTGTGTTGTGTTAGTGTTGGCTTTCTCCTGTACTCAGCTGGGAACACTATGCTCTATAGAATTCTTTAGCATTATATATATAACAGGTACCCTTTTTAGCTTTCATTCAGCTGACAACATGGAAGACACCAGCAATTTAGTCCTCTTATGACATAAACTTTCATGGTGGCTAAATAGCATTGCATGCACCTGTGTGTGTCTGCAGTTTCTGAAAGGTTAAATAAAAGTTGGAGATGAATAATGGATGCTGCCAATCAAGAACCAAACTTATTCAACAACTTGGGAGCTATTTTTCACGGTTGTTCTACTTTCCTCCTGTCCTGTTAGAAAAAAACTCGCAGCTCGCCTGCAGGAAGCTGAAGAAGCGATTGAAGCAGCTAATGCCAAGTGCTCTTCTCTGGAGAAGACAAAGCACAGGCTGCAGAATGAGCTGGAGGATATGATGATTGACTTGGAAAAGTCCAATTCTGTTGCAGCAGCGCTAGACAAGAAACAGCGCAGCTTTGACAAGATCATCAGTGACTGGAAGCAAAAGTATGAAGAGTCACAGGCAGAGCTTGAAGCTTCCCAGAAGGAAGCCCGCAGCCTCAGCACAGAGCTCTTTAAGCTGAAGAATGCCTATGAAGAGACACTGGATCACCTGGAGACAGTAAAAAGGGAAAACAAGAACCTCCAAGGTAAGTCATGCACAGTGGACTTGACAGTAGGTTAGAGAGAAGCAGTTAAAGGGATGGTGTTATTTCCATCACTAACCCCATTCCATTTTAACCCAGTCCATTTTCCTTCTCTGCATCCATTTTTTAAAACAAATGGTGCTGATGTGGAAAACAGTTACATTCCCAGCATTGGAAATGGAATATGCATCCACAGAGAGAGAAACACCAGAGGCAGTAGATGTACAGGCTCTCTTACACTGACTGGCCCATGTATCCTAATCCTACTGTGGAATAGAATCTCTCTCTAGAGAATAAAGACATCAGTCAGACCGTTTCTGTCATTGATCAGCTACTGAGCCTGTTTAGAAAAGGATCAGACTGGTGCTAGTTGCAATGCACTGTGTAACAATGGCAGACAAGAGATAATTAATTGTCTCCACTAGCAGACAAGAGATAATTAATTTCACTTGCTCCATTGACCAGCTGTTTGTTAGATTTTTATCTACTAGCCCTTTGCCAATACCCTGAGGTTACCTTGTTCCCTGTAATCAGAAAATTAACAATTTCTTTTACAAAATTAAGAGTAGTTTAACAAACCATACCAGACCTTCAACTTTAATGGCTCATCTTCTGCTCTTTTGTTTCTACCATAGATTTATAGATTCATAGATTGTAAGGCTGGAAGGGACCTCAGAAGATCATCAGGCCCAGCTCCCTGCACCTAGCAGGAAAGATAACTGAGGGTCAGGTGACCCTACCAAGTGACTGTCTAGTCCAAGATTTCCAGGGTAAATGATTGCACCACCTCTGGAGACAGCTTATTCCACAGTCTGGACACCCTGACTGTGAACAAGTTTTTCCTAATGTTGAGCCTGAATCAGTCTTCCAGGAGTTTGTGGCCACTACTCCTGGTTTTCCCCAAGGGCACCCTGGTGAACAGCTGTTCACCAAGCCCCTGATGTACTCCCCTAGTGCAGAGGTAAGTTGCTACCACGTCCCCTCTCAGCCTTCTTCTCTTCAGGATGAAGAGTCCCAGATCCCTCAGCCTTTCCTCATCTGGCTTGCCTTTTAAGACTCTGACCATATGGGTGGCTCTTCTCTGGACTCTCTCAAGCTTGTCCATGTCCTTGTTAAAGTGTGGTGCCCAGAACTGGATGCAGTACTCCAGCTGCAGTCTCACCAGTGCTGAGTAGAGAGGAAGAATCACCTCCTTGGTTTTGCTGGAGATGCACCAATTGATGCATGCCAGAGTATTATTTGCCCTACTGGCTACAGCATTGCACTGCTGGCTCATATTCTTACTGTGGTCTATTATTACCCTCAGGTCCCTTTCATTCGTGGTGCTAGTCAGTTTGGTACCGCCAAGCCTGTAAGTGTGTTGAGGATTCCTCATACCGAGGTGGAGAACTTTACATTTCTCAACATTGAACTTCATCAGGTTCTGATCCACCCAACTTGCTAGCCTGTCTAGGTCCACCTGTATCTGTAGCCTATTTTCAAGCGTGACCATGCTCCCCCATAACTTGGTGTCATCCACAAACTTGGCCACTGAGCTCTTCACCCCCACATCCAAATCGTTAATATAGATGTTGAAAAGCACTGGACCGAGCACCGACCCCTGCGGGACACCACTGTCCACTTCTCACCAGATGACACATCCATTCACTATAACTCTCTGGGTCCTATCCTGCAGCCAGTTTCTCACCCACCTGACTGTCTTGGAGTTAAGCCCACAATCCTCTAATTTTCTTGAGAGGACATTGTGAGATACGAGATCAAAAGCCTTTTGGAAGACTTTATAATGTCAATCTGCTTTCTCGTGTCCAGGTTGCAAATTACCTGGTCATAGAAGGAGATGAGGTTGGTAAGACAAGACCTGCCCGTGACAAAGCCATGCTGGCTGTCATTCAGAATCTTACCTTCTGCAAGCATATCGCAGATAGACTCCTTGATGCATTTTCTAGGATTTTCCCTAGGATGGAAATTAGGCTGATTAGGTTATAGTTACTTGGGTCCTCCCTCCTGCCCTTCTTGTGGATGGACACAACATTAGCCCTCTTCCAGTCCTCAGGGACTTCTCCAGAGTGCTATGAGTTGCAGAAAGATTTTGCCAGGGGTTCCACAATGACTTCGGCCAGCTCCTTCAGCACTCTCGGATGAAGATCATCATATACTGATACTATATATTGTTCATCCACTGGAGTTAAGTTTAAAACAAGAACAAAAAATTAAAGGAATAAGAGATCGGACAATCATAAAGTAAATCCTAGGTTAGTTGGTATCACAAGCGCAACAAACTCTTTCCATATAGGTCAAGAAGAGTTAGTGTCTCAAACAGGTAATAAGAGGGTACACACACACACACACACACACACACACACACACACA